CTCTCTCTCTCTTTCTCCACCCAGTGCCTACAATGAAGAACGAGGAGCGTAAGCAAACACGAATGAAGGGGAAGCTGAGGTCATCAACAAATACAGGTGACACTAGACCCATATATATAGAGTGTGAAAAGTACAACTTGTTTGTCTTTGGAAAACAGCAGAAAAAAAGAGAATCAACTACTATGAGAGTTTATAACATAATATAAGATAAGATTAGATTTATTATCTCAGAGGGAATTTTTTTTTTACTCTACAGGACCGTGGAAACACATGTAGGTATACATAGAAGTTAAAATTATATATTACTCTCAGTAAAATTTACTTATTTAATTCAATATGAAAAGAGACGTAAAGCTGACAAAATGTACATATCACGTCAGATGCATCATTTAACCTCATGCAGGAATTTAATTACAAGATTTTTAGAGTTATATAGATACATACTCGAAAAATCAATACACACAGATGGTTATTCTGACAATAGCCTTATGCTAGATGGTAAAAAAACTTCTTTTATATCTTTCTTTGTTTTTAGAGGTACATATCTGCCGCTGTTCGATCTTACAATTTGCGTGGAAAGGGGGTGTGTCGGATGGTTTATAGTGCTTTTTATCTTATTTATGCTTGTGGTGTTATAATTATACATTTCATCAATTCTAGTAAAATCATATCCATAGATCATGAACTTAATGGCTTTCTTAATGGTTCTGTTGAATTTAAAACCCTCCCAACTCAGAAATCGAACTCACGCCATCTGCGTGTGACGGTGAAAAGCCTAATCCTAGGTGGCGATGCTGTTTGTTGTTGTGGGTTTTTTTTTGGGGGGGGGTTGTTGTTGTTTTTTCTTTTGTTGTTGTTGTTTTTTTTTGTTCATGTTTTTGTTTTGCTTTTGTTTTGTTTTTGTTTTTATGTTGTCGTTTTTTAAAAACCAACTGTGTACTGCTCCATGCTAACTTCAGGAAGAAAAAAAATATTATTACACAACCCTATGCAGTGGTCTCCGCTTGCTTCAACGGAAGAACGCTTTGACAATTACATAATATACATCTGCTTGTATGTATGTTTAGCTGCCTGTTTCGTT